GATGGTCCGTTGGACTCCACACAAACCTCTAATCTACTTTTTCATACTCCAAAACCTTGACCTGAGGTGGACTGGAGGGGGAGGAGCCAATTCAATCAGGTCAATAGCCCTGATTGGTTTTGATTGTTTTTTTGATTTTGTTGTTGGAGCTGCTCCAAAAAGAACATTTCAAGAAAAATGTAGAAATTATTTTTTATATAACATACACCAAAAAGAGATAGTTCAAAATTTTAACACATAATACTTTGGATACTGCAACAGTGTTAACCAGAATACTGCAGTCATTAAGAATATTGCACAATTATTAACCCAAGAATTGCACAGATTAACCACATCTGTGCAATATTTAAAATGTTAATATTGCAGGGAATTTAGTATTTTCTCCAACATTCCCAGCTATAATTAATTTGACTTTTTTTTTTTTGACTTTTTTACAGTAGCTAAAGACACAGCAGGTGTTTTACATGAAACTAAAAGCTGCATAAATAAAATGCTGCAAGGTATGTTAGGAAATAAAGATATGTTAAAATTTCAAATATATCAGTCATACTGTATGTACTGTTTTATATATATTTCACAGCAGGGATATATTGACAATACTCTTACAGACCGGGGAAAACCCCCAAAAATCCACGCCCACACACACACCAGTGCACAGACATGCGCACACACACATAGAGAAGATGTATCTTCAGACACAAAGGTCATCTGTCTGACCTGAGACCCAAACCACTGACCTCTTCTGTGTAAGGCATTAGCCTTAACCATCACAGAGCAGCTCCAATATTAATAAACTCTTCACCTTCTGTCTTCCTCTCCTCCCTGCTCTCTCACACCAACCGTCTCCAGGTTATTAGTTCCATCTTTAACGTCTTTCTTCAACACTATCATAATCGTAATTAACTAGACCTCAAGTCAAACACTTTGTTTGTCTGGTTCGTTAACCTTCGGCCAAACAGCAGAACCACTCGGACCCCGCTCTGCATCACCTCCATTAAGGTTTGTTTTAACTAATAACGCTGAAGAAAACCTAATGCAGCAGTGATTCAGTCGAAGAGGAGAAGGGGGAGGACGGAGAGGAGGGGGAGAAGGAAGGGGACAGAACGCCTCAGCTTACACAGACTTCAATTTGATGCACATTCTTCATGTGCCCTGTCTCTACATCACCGGGGGGCGAGGGAGGGGGAGAGGGGGGCGGGGGCCTCTGAAGTCGGGCCAGAATCCCATCAAACTTAATCCACAGGTGATGAAGTCATCGTCGTCGGTTTGGTCGGCCGGCGCTCGCTCTGATAAAACAGCTGGTTCAGAGTCTCACCGCAACAATTTTCTACCACTTCATCTACAGTGATTGGCTGATAGAAAAAATACTGAATCACAACGACTGACCATAGTTGACAAATCACTGGATGATCAGAGGAAGGGGAGTCTCGTCACTTCTATCTCCGATGATAGAGACTCTCAGACTCTTACTCACTCAGCTCAGTGTTTTTACTGAGGTGTTCAGGAGGAGGGGGAGAGAAAAGGAAGGAATAAAAGAAGGGTGGAGGGAGAGAAGGAAAGACAGAAAGACGGGAAGAAAAAGACAGAAAGATGTAAAGATGGGAAGGAAAGAAGGTGAAAGAAGTAAACAAGGAAAGACAACAAAAGCAGGGACAAGTGGAAGGGCAACATACTGGTTCAAATCACAACATAGACCAAACATTTACATTTTAAAGGAAGGAAAAGGATGAGACAGAGTAAGGAAGGTGGGAGGAAGTGAGGAGGGAAATAAATAGGAGAAATGAAGGCAGGAAGAAAGGAAAGAAAGATAGGATGGAGCAGGAAAGAAGAAAAGAATGGATGAAGGAAACAAACAAACAGACTAACAAATGTGCTAGTTTTGTTTCACAAAATAAGAAAATAAGGGGCGGGGGCCAACAGCTGTCTCCAAACCTCCAACATCAAAGCCTGCTCAGCAGCAAACAGACGTCGTCCTGTTGGTGTTACTAAAGAGTTGGATTGTGTTTTGATTTTGATCAAAGCTCACATTAACGGTGTGACACAACGACAAGACTTGGTTATTATGGCTGCCTCTGTTTAAAACAGCAAACCTCAAGGCTGTGGTAGAACCTGGTGGTTCATACGATAGGCTTGTTCTAAAGCTATAAAACACAAACCTTTTTAATTCCATAGCATTTCTACACATTTCCAATCACAATTATGGGCGTCGCTGTGTCCTCGGTTTCTGCCAATATGGCCTCATTTACACCGCACACTGGGCCTTGAACAGACGTGTGTCAGAGAGGTATTACCACTAGAAGGTGGCACTAAAAAAAAAAAACATGGTGGTGCTGTGAAAAAAAAAAAGATCGGACCCAGAGAACAGCTTTGTTGTATCTGTCTGCCTTTTCGCACAGGGATTAAGCGACGTGAGGAGAACGGTGCAGTCTTTGTTTTCCAAAGCCGCGGTCTGATCTGGGCACGGTCACGTATGTTACGGAGCGTCATGCTCATTAATCTCAGTGGGGCCACTTTCCCACAGAACCGGTTCTCTGCCTCGCTGCCGTCCAGGCAGCTCCCAGCAGCTGGAGCCCTGTGGGACCAGAACTCTCCTCATTACCCTTCACTTTCCTCTCTTTCTCTGCTCCTTAAACACTGCTGCACGGCTGTCGGCGTTCTCTGCCAACTCTTACACCTTGCTGCTGTACGCACCGCTCCCAGAACCCTCTCTGTGACTCTGACACACACCACCCCGTCAGCTCTGCCTCCCCTCACTGCGGAGCGGTGTCCGTGTCTTTACGGTCTCCCCAGTCCTGTCAGAGTCCGACCTGGCCCTGCGTCCCTCCATATGGAGGCCATTTCCCCTCCCTCTGCTCTATAGCCATTAGAACATGCAAAAACATTTCAGCAAATGTTAAATAAACAGCCAGATTACTTTTTCACACTCAGGCAACCACATTGGTCTCAGGTGAACCATAATCTCTGGCATTACAGACTCAGCACATACGACCCTGTGCTCGACTTGGTGAGCGATGAAAGCCACTGAAATAATGGTCTCTAAAGCTTCTGTGATACAAATCTGAGCGTGTTTATTAATATCAGCGTAAATGCACCCTTTGAAATCCATGGGTGAATCACAGCCATCCAAGAGCAACAACGAATAATTTTGGAAAGCGGTGGAAAAAGGTGTGGTAATTATTACCAAATAGGCAACACTTGCTCATTGAGGTAAGTGTTAATGTTGGACAAACGTGCACAGACTCTGCCAGAACGTTTCAAAGACAGGCCAATGGCTGTTAATCCCAACACATAAAACACGCAAGCAAACAGATATGTGTGGGTTTTTCTAACAATACATTATCATTTGTTTTGTTTTTTTCTACACATATTTATTCTAAAACCAATTCTAATTCACCAACCTGTTCTTCTACAAGTCATTCCTGACATTGACAAAAACTGTCTCAGGTCTTCGCGCCTTCTTTTGTCAACTTCCTCCCGTCCCCGAGGATCTGAGCAGATTGACCATGACCTCACTCGCCAACATGTTCTCTTCTAAACGTTTATTTTGGCGCAGCAGTGAAAAATTCAGGAAAACTTCTGGTCACTCCAGATTCTTCCACTTTAGAATTATGGAAGCCACAGCGGTGCAGCAGAGTCTCTGGGACGTTTCCTCCAAACCATTGTTTTGTATGATTCTGAATTAGAAACGAAGATGTTAATCAGAGCCTTGAAGCTCGTGAAGTAGACAGGAAGTAGCAATTAGCAACTGTGGCGCAAGTCTGCAGGTTTAAATTAGTAAAATAAGTACGTCTACAATTTTTTTTAATTATTACATTTTTTAATCTCATTTTTCATCAACTACCTGTGGATTAATCAAGATTAATTATGATTACCCATGATTGTAATTAAGCACGATAAAGAGTTCGAGGTGTGATTTTAATTCGCGCTGCTCCAGTGAAACAAAAACTCTTTCCTCCATTGATTGTAAATAACAATGTATGTTTGTATCGAACGTTTGGATCGAGCTAATCTTGTCAGCCCTAAAAAAAAAAAAAAAATCAACATTTGTTTGTTTTACATCGATAGCAAAGATTTGTCTGGGACACAATTGACCTTTCAGCTGTAAGGCATCAGCTCTAGCCGTCGTTGTGCCGCCCTATAAGGTCAAAAACTTTTGATCTTACTCTTCTTTTAGCTGCTTATTTCTGGGTCAGTCATCCCAAACTTAGCCCAGGAAGTAGACAGGAAGTAGAAGTGTGGTGTCAAGTGTTTACAGTAATAACTCAAGTACAGAGACCGTCTCATTAGGAAGTCATTTTTGACATTAATTATAAATGTTTTTCTGGTGACCAATCAGATTTGTGCCTGACATCTGGACCGCCTGCATTCAGAACAGCAGATCGTGCTGGTTTAAATCCCACGTCCTGACGCTTCCAAACCAGGAGAATATGTGTTCATTCAGGCAGCCTGACATTAGACCTCCATCCACCCTCGCACTCTGTGGCTCAGAGCCGACTGTGGTGGCTCAGCCTGGCTGAAAACGTTGGCCATTCACTTGGCACACAGTCTGCGGTCTGTGCTATCCAGGAGCAGCGCTGCCCATCACCAAACCCAGACTGCCTCCCGCTCTTTATGAGCTGAACTGCTCTTCACATTGGTTCTTTCAGAGTGAGGCGGAGTTCCATTTTTAGAAGAAGCCAAGAGTCCTCACGACTGTTGTCTTTCTGCATTATACGTTCCAAACCTTTAGTCCTCAGTCTCAACATATAAACTGAATGTATAAATTGAATTAAGGAATCAAGAGCTGCACGGTGGCTCAATTACCGGGGCCGCCCGTCTACACAGCGCTAGTTATAAAAAGGCACTGATGCAGAAAGAGCTGCATGATCCTCCTGAAGACACGCTGGGTCTGAACCAAACACGTGGCCCTAATTTCACAGACCACACTGACTGCACTTTATTTTAGTGTGAAGAAAACTGCACCGCAGAGAAGAGGAAAAAAGACGAACGTAAGAACTAACCTTCACGACACTCGTCTCCCACAAACCCTGGACAACATCTCCACTCCAGTGCTGTGACTTGTTTGTAGGCGACCCTGAAGGACGGCCTGAGCACGCTCCTGTAGCTGGACAACAACACATGGAAGGCTGACTTTAGGACAGCGTCCACACAGAAACACAAGGACAAGGACACATTTAACTGACAGCTTTACAAAATGTTTGGTTTTTGTGCATCTTTTGTGTTTTACGGAGCAGTACAAAAATAAAGGATTGATTCCGAAAAAAACCCACCAGAGTCATCCAGTGTTTCAGGTGATGTCACAGAGTAAGGTCATAAAAACATCAGCAGAGTCTGACTTACACCTGGGAGTCTTAATGAAGGGCAAAAAGTACAACGAGCGAATATAAACAAAGCCATACAACATCATGTGACGGTGTATTATCTGCTCTGCTCGCTAACTAGTTCCCATGAAACTAGTTAGTCTTAATGGCCTATGTGGGAATGATGTAACAATACTTTGTTAATACATTTCTAGGAGATAGCGATGTAACCATGAAACTGCTGTAGGTCAAAGACGTCTTAAACCAGGCATGGGAAAACTAAGGCCCGGGGACCAGATGCAGCCCATTCAGCTTTTTAATCCGGCCCATCAAACTTTTGATTTGATTGTGTTTGACTACTTGGCCTTTGACCTTTGACCTGATGACTGACTTGATTACACTGTTACTTTTATGACATCAATATGGATGTAATGTTTATTTATATCCTCCAGAGAACTTGAAGAAAAGGAAAAGCACTGATTGTAAAGTATGGTGATGGAGTACATACTGGTTTATTAAAAAAGGGAATGTGAACAATAATCATGTGGTAAATAAATCTGTGCATGTACCAGAACTTCAGCATGGCTTTGTTTGGGTGTTATAGTAGTAACAAAGGTCTTCTATAATTCCCATTTTCATCCTTTATTATAAGCAAAGATTGTTTGTCCACTCCACTCTGGACCGACAGCAGTCTCCTTCTCTAACAGACTGTCTCAGCTCTGCTGTCACACAGGGACATTGCAGGGAGTCTGTCCTGACAGCTGAGGTAAGACTGTAGAGTCTTGACATCTGCTGTCACTGACAAACACACTCCTCACACTCCTGTCATGTAACCTAATACAAATATTTCTGAACACATGTAACTGTGGCTGAGTACAACCTGGACAGGTGTGTGGTGCACGTGCTCAGTAGAACCTGAATGCTTCACTGTACGTATTCTATCATTGCATAATGATCTAATGGGTTTCCCTTTAGAAGACAATAAGGCAGTAAAACATACATGCACTTCCTAAAATGTACCCACAGCATATCCATCCTCCTCACTGTCCATACGTCGATGCATTATTTGAACTATATGTCTGTCTCTCTGTCCACCTGTCTACAGGGACATGTCTTACCTGATGACTTTGGCGCAGGGTCCAGGCCACCGACAGCCCTGAAACACTCTCTGCACAGTGGTTTCTGTCCCATTTTGGACCTGACAGGACACCGTTCTGGAGACAGTGTACTGACACCAGTTCCTAAAAACAGACAGAAAACAACTTTAGAAAACAAAATATTGCACAATAATACTAATAATAGTGGCTTATAAGACGTGAAGCTGTAAACGGTCAGGAACTCACCTGAGCTGGGTCCGGGTCCCTGGAGGTCCACCGCTGCCGCTCTGTTCTGACTTGATGCGCTGCCGCTGCACCGTGATGCTTGGAAAGTGATAAACGAACCCTGTCCCCACCGACGGACAAACTAACGATAGCAACACGCACAGCGCGAAGAATGTCCACGAAGCCATGACTTCCCTGCGATTTATCCCTGATAGCGAAATGTGACGACGGCGTTCAAGTACAAAGTTTCCACAGTCAGAATATGAATGACGGGTCGACGGGAGACTGCGGACGAAGACTTAAACAAATAACAGATTTGCAAGCGAACTGTCCATCCCTGCGCCCGGACCAGAACAGAGCTCACAGTGACTGACACACAGGCACTTCTTATAGAATGATGTGGGTTCCTGAGCGTTGACATACAGTGCTGTGGACTGAGGAGTCAAATATCCAGCGTGCGTAAAAGCGCGTCTGGAACCGAAGGAAAAGAGCTGAGTCATTAAAAAAAACACGCTCTAATGTAATAACGTTTCTATCACCATAACTCACAGATAAGCCTCCAGTAACTACAAAAGAGAATTATTAAAACCATATCCATTCGGAGTGGCATAGAAGGTGACAAATAATGACAGGTTTTTAACTCTCAGTTTAGCATTTGGTTACTTTCCAAACCGTTAACACATGCAGAAAAGAGCGCGACGACACCGCAAATGACACGACTGTAACTCATTTGAGTCGTCTTATCAATCTGTTGCAAATGCTCTGTGTTTGCAATAAGTAAGTTATGCATTAAAACCCAAACTGCTTTTGCAACCACGGCAGTAAAAAGATGAAAGCACATTTCACAAAAGATTGCTTCAACAAGTCAGTGTCCAAGTGTATAAGTTTTTATTTGCTTGGACAGCATCCTAACCTCATTATTGTGACTCACAAAATACCCCCTCACATGTTTTCAATTTCACACCGGCACGGAACGTCCCTACAAGAAAAATATATGGCCGACATCATGTATTTAACTTGGGATAATTTAAACACAAATAACAGTTTCCATCTGTGATCCGTTAGAAAGTAGTGTGTGATATATTTCAGATTACAAAATTTAAATTTACAGACTATGTTTCGTACTTTGAAACGTTTCAGTTGGTTGTAGATGCCTGTTAATCATAATTATCTTGAGGAAAATCGTGAAAATTTTAAAGGAGCCCGGTTTCTCTTAGCACTAGTATAGGTCTTATTCCTTATTTGTTACAGACATCACGTCCAAATACTTCTGTGCGTGCCTTGCGTTTGGCACGGTCGTTGAGCAATATATCCCACCAGAGGGCAGCGTTGATTTCAGGGTCCATTTCCGGCCTGACATTAATTTCTCACACTAGTCAATAACAAACATGGCGACCGTGCATTCGATTCCTTCTTATGTGAATAGATAGTTTACATGTTGTCCTGCAGCTTACACCACATGTCTTTTTCTGTCCCACATTTTATTGACTGGGAGCTGGTCACCGTATGTGTGAAGAGCTATGATTAAAGGCAGACACGATGTGCTAAAAAATGTATCTAAATAAAGATAAAAGGAGACTCGTCGGAGTTTACTCAATAATACATAAACTAGTACTAGTTTATACGCGTACAGACATTGCCATGTTCAAATATTTGTGCAGAAATAAATACATCTCACTAAGTGAATGTCACTTCATCAACACGAGGAATTTGTGAACGACAGTGCCCTCTGCTGACGAACTCCACTTTGTACAGGCTTTAGAAAGCAGACGTGTCCCACAGTGGGTCCAGCTTGCACGGCTACAGTGAGGCTGACAGCACCGGTAGCAGCATGGAAGAAAAACCTGACGTGGAGATGGCAGAAAATCCTTTTGAGCCATACATTGAGCCCCTTCGTCGGCAGCTGGAGAACCAAGAACCGGTTTTTCTGATCGGCGTCATTGTGGCACTGGCGGTGGTTATCAGCTCCTGTGGTAAGAAGTTTGCTTAAATAAAGTAAGCATAGCAGGCGAGGCCTTTAGCGTTAGCTTAGCCTGAGCTACAGAGTAGTCGTTATATCTTCTATAGTTTGTTAGCATGTTGATGGTTTAGCTTTGCTAATGCTGAAAAGAGTCTTTGTGGTGCAACGTTCAGCGACAAATGTCAAAAAAAAAATTTAAAAAAAATCTGTGAACGGAATGTTAAAAATAAAGTAACAGGCTAGGAAGCTAACTCAGGTGGTGAGCTGAAGCTGCTGGTTGTCATTTTAACTGAAGACAAAACGAAAGCTATTCTTCTTCTGTTCTTAAGTTGTGTCTGCCCGTCAGGGACAACCTAGTTTAATCCTTTTCTTCGTCTTTTGGTGGCTCCCAAGGAGTCGCCACAACCAAGCATCTGCCTCCATCTTTGCCTTACTTACCTACTGTTAGACCAATCACCGCCACGTACTTCTTGAGTTTATCCAAAAATTCTGCTCTGGGTTCTTCTTCTCTTGTCTACCTGACAGCTCCATCTCCAGCAAACTTTTTTTTAGTAATGCTTAGAGTCCAAACGTTGCATCTCTAACTTTATCTCCTCCGATCTTGACATTTGAAAACACCATTGCAGATCTCACAGTTTTCCTTGTTTTGAATGGTTGATCCCACTTTATTATGCAGCTTCATCTTTTCACCAGTGTCACTCTCCATCACACACATATGAACTGTTAAGAACATTAAGTTCCTGGCTCTTCATAAGCAGAACAACCAACAGTTCATTTCCGTTCCCTGCTGCTCTGAAACTCAAACTGAAAAAAACAAAACAAAAAAACCCTTCTGTTTTCTTTCTGTAGTTTTCCTGAAGTACTTCCTCAGCAGTAAAACTGTTAGAAGTGCTGTGCTCCTGGTCGGACTCTGTGACTCTGGAAAAACTCTGCTCTTCTGCCGGGTGAGCTGATGAAGTTGTGACTCGTTTTGTCATATCATGTGACAAGCCTATCTGACAGGTGTCGGTTGATTAACTTTAATTATTATCTTTTTTTTATTTTAGCTGCTGTCAGGAAAGTTCAAACGAACGCAGACCTCCATCACTGACAGCAGCGCCCCCTACAAGGCCAAAAGTGACAGGGTAGGTGTTATGGTTTCCATTGATACCTCCATGATTCACAGTTGGGGTCGGCACCGACCCGTTTAAAATTTTAAATGCATAATCACTTTCAATTTGTTTATTGAATCGAGGGCTTTTGACTTTGTCAGGAACCAATATTTCAAATAAATAAAACAAAAACTAAAAAATATTTTCACTAAATTATAAATTGCTCGGGTGGAAATTATGACCTTTGTGTTAGGGTCGGTTTCAGCCAGCTCCTCTCCTAATGTGAGCTTTAGGGGATTCTCATTATGCGTGGTTTTCCAGTATACCTGCACAAAACCAAAACAAACAAAGATGGGCATGTCCAGAGATGTAAAGTGGATTCACTCATTTGAGTGGCCATTTGACTTGCAGAGTGCACAAATGAGGTTCTGGATCATGTTTTTGGTGAAATGAGGGAGAGGATACAGATGAGCAGGTTTCTGTATAATTAGAACCAAAACTTAAATCATAAGTGCACTGTCAGCCAAAACACTGACAGACAGCTCCTCTCCCAATCATGTGAGCTTTAGGGGATGCTCATTTTGCCTTGTTTTCCAGTATCCCTGCACAAAAACAAAACAAATACCTCATGATGAACATGGCAGGGCAGCTGGTACAAATGTCATCAAAATGACCCCTGGAATCACATGGTTTGCTGTGACCAGAGTCAGTGACAAGACATGTTTTGAACTATTTATGCCATTGTCACTAAAAAGAATCGTCATTACTATGATGAACCTTGAAGGAAAAAAAGTCCAAGGGACATGAGGAATACCTGGATGATTTAATTGGTGTTCTTCTTCTTGCGGGAGTGTACAGATCCTACAGTGAGGCCACTGATACTCTATGGGGCGCATCGACAGGCAGAAATATTTTCCGGGCAACAATATCACTTCAGACATTTGAAATGATTTCAAGAGTCCTCAGATTTGACAACAGAGAGACCTCTGACAAGCTTGCTCCTATCAGGGATGTCTGGGAGAGATATAAATACTTTTTTTTGCCTTTTCTTGATGTAAATATATATGGGTCGAAATTGACCTGTAACACCATAGATGTTACTTTAGTTATTAATATTAAAATGAAAAAATAAAACGTATTTAAGAGATGTGTTCTATACCCCTCAGTAATAGTCAGGTAACATAACATCCTTTTATTTATTAATATGATTCTCTTGAGGTTCATTTTATAATTTTTTTTAAAATTGAAATCGAGGGGTATACTGACAAAAAACACCAAAAGTATTAAAACTAATATTTTCATGGATAAGGTAACCAAGAGATGAGAAACAAATTGGATGATTATTGTTTTTAGTGTATTTTATAGCTGGTTTAAACCGACCTGTTAACAGCCTTGTTCACTGTTCTCTTCTGCTCCTTTATTCAGGGCAGCACCTGGACTCTCATAGATCTGCCTGGACATGAAAGTCTTCGCTCACAGTACCTGGAGAAGTTCAAGTCTACTGCCAGGTGAGAAGACAAGTCTTAGCTTTTTCCCCGTCTGCGGAGGTTCTTGACATTTTGATAGGCATTGAGAATGTTGACAAACTTCAAGGACTGTTAGCCTCTCATAGCAAATAAATATATTTATCCATGTCATAAAAATCACTCAAAAATACAATAATTGAAATATAACTTTAATAATAAATATAAAACTGATTAACACAAATGATTAACTAACTAAAAACGTATGTTAACTAGTGTGTTTTGGTGGTACATACAGTGACATGTTCATCCCTGTGTCCTCAGAGCCATCGTGTTTGTAGTGGACAGCGCCATCTTCCAGAAGGAAGTGAGAGACGTGGCGGAGTTCCTGTACGACCTGCTGACAGACATTGTAATTTCCAGAAATGCTCCGGCTATTATTGTGGCATGCAACAAACAAGGTAAAAAAAACCACATACATAGGATCACACAGTATATATTATAGAATTCAAGTGTTTATCTTACGCTACAGTATGTGTTGTATTTAACAACATATTTGTTCTACAGATATCACTATGGCAAAATCGGCAAAACTGATTCAACAGCAGCTGGAAAAAGAACTGTAAGTACTATCTACTCTGAACCACTTTTTAAATACTGTGGTACAGATATTACACCATCCTTACTTTTCTATGTATTAATACTTACAGTATTCAACCTTGTACTGCAAAACATAAAATACACCTGACTATAAATAGACAGCTGTAGACACATGTACCCTTTGTGATACTTACCCTCCCCCTGGTGGTACATGTGCCTGGCAGTAGGGGGCAGTCAAGACACATTTCTCCTTTATATACTTTATGCCTAGCAGGTCTTTTATCGTTGGTCTTGCCCATCGTTTTTTGAGAAACAAATATATATATGTATATGAATATACCAAATATTTTCCAAGGTCATTTGAGATGTAAAATGTTTGCGAACCATTGATCTTGATATTCTCCCAGCTATAGCTGCATCTAGCATACCCTTCTGTTCATTAAGTGAACATTATGTAAACAAAGACTTGTGTCTGGGTTTTTGTTTTTTTCTTTCAACAGAAACACTTTGCGGGTGACACGCTCGGCAGCCCTCAGCTCTCAGGACGGCTCCATCGGTGGCAGCATGTATCTGGGCAAGAAAGGCAAGGACTTTGAGTTTGGCCAGCTGTCCATGAAGGTGGAGTTTGTGGAGTGCAGTGCCCGTGGTAGCAAGAGTGAAGACGGGGATGCAGAGCTGGAGCGTCTGGAGAAATGTCTGGCTAAACTGTAAAATGATTGATCCGAAGAACAACCCACGGACACGCACACACCAACTGGGCTCAGAGTAAAGGGAGACTCCAGTCATTGCTGTGGACCATGTTTGTCTGGAGACATCATGGTCCTGTCTGTGCTGAATCACAATGTATGAACATAATGTTTGAGGAGATAAAAAAAGAAAACACCAAAAAGACTGTGAAAACCACTCACTGCCTGCAGAGCTGGGAAATGATCATGTGCTTCTTCAGTTTAGACCCTACTGTGAACAAACACATGGCTCATTGTTGGAGTTCACTCTTGGACAGTTGATAATCTTTAGGTTTTTGTGTCTGTTTTAAAAGTCTGAGCTCATCTGATCTTCAATGTTCAGCTCTGTGCCTTTCCCTGATATTTCTTTAGATGAGTGTCCTACTTTTTGTGCAAAGATAGATTTGCTTGTGTGAGAATTGTGCGCAGCTACACCGCATTGGCAATGACCGTATGCATCATATGTATTGTAATAATGAAAGACTGAAGATTCAACCTTGTCTGACTCCATTTTAAGACATTTGGTTTGTATGTTTTTGATGCTCAACATTCATAGCAACAACAAAAAAAAGAGTTTGATCAAATTACATTTGGTTATTTTTCTGGCTGTGTTCAAATCAACACAAGGAATCCAGTGTCGAAACAAAAATTGTATTTGAAACAAAAATAAACCAGACTCCTTCCATGCCAAATTAAACAACTAAAAATGCATTGGTGAGACAAACTCTCGGAGCGCGTTCACTGTTCTCCACGGGTGATGTCGTGCCTGAGACTACAGGTGAGACAGAGGGTAAACAGTCAGACTGCAGCTCTGATCTGCTACAACCACACACTGTTCTCCCTTCAGCACAGCAGCACACAACCAGTTCACCTTATCTCCATGACTGAAGCTCAGTTTGGGTCCAGACTTGTCCTCTGTCACGTCCTCAGTAGCTGCAGCTTCACCCTCCACTACTGCAGCAGCAGCAGCATCAGCCTCATTCTCCTCCTCATCCTTGGGTTGGGCCTTTGTTTTATCCTGAGATTGTTCTTTCTTCTTTTTCTTGCTTTTACCTATCCTTCGTGGTGCTGAAGTCGCTCTAGTTTTGCCTTTTCCCTCTGGAGAAACCACCGGATGTTTACTGAGGTCCCACAGAGCCACCTGACCATCATTTCCTCCAGTGATCAGCCAGTACGGGTGGGAAGATGAAGTAACAAAGTGAGCCTGCGATGCTCCCTGACTGTGGGCTTTAATTGCTCCGTGTTGTTCCAGTTTGGAGCCGGCGCCGATCCGCATCAGATGCACTTGGCCGTCCTCTGCAGCACATCCTACGATATTCCCACAGCCTGAGACTGAAACACAGTGAGCCAGCGGTGGGTTGAAGAGCTGACCTGGACGCTGCTGTTGGTCCCCTTCATCTTCAGCTACATCCTGCAGGTTCAGTGTCCAGAGGGGACGGGTCTTCTGCAAACCCCACAGCATCACCTGAAGGGACACAAAATTAGAAGAGAGAATATATCAAGCATGACATGAACTCGTCCAGAAACTGAAGCAGAACTTGCGTTCCGTTTCCCACCTGCATGTCCAGTCCAGCAGACAGCAGGTTGTTGGGTCTGTGAGGCCTGAAAGCTACAGAGGAGCAGATGTTGGTGTGTCTGCGAAGAGTCCTGCACACCTTCCCACCAGGAAGCTCCAGCACTCGCACCACTCCCGAGTCGTCAGCCACTGCTAGAGCTGAACCTGTCTCATTTACAGCTAACGCGTTGATCTCCTCCTCCCCTACGCCCCGATACTCATCCACAGGTTCCTTCAGGTTCCGACAGTCCAGAACACTCACTATGTCCCCGTGTGACAGATACAGCTGAGAAGGAGCTGCAGGTGAAAACACCACACTGGTGTTGTCCTCCTCACCAGGTAAAGTTAGTCGATTTACAATGTTGCCCTCATGACTCCAAAGGGTCACCTCCCCTCCCTCTGAGCCTGAAGCGATGAGACCCTCAGGGCCCGGAGAAACTCCTACACACAGGATGGACGAGGAGTGGCCTCCAGACCACTGTCCGGCCATGGTGACCCTGCACAGAACATTCACAACTAAAGGTTAGAAAATAAAGACTGCAATAGAAAACAAATGCTAGGAGAAGGAACTCATTGTCAGGAACTGCCATGTGAAATCCCATGACAAGCATTTATGACCATCTAAAATAAATATGTTGGAAACAAAAGTCTAAAGCTGAGTCAAAATGTAGTTGAAAATATTTGATGTAACTGAAGTAAAATCCAAATCCACTGATGCAAAATGGGTCTGGGGGCTCATATTACTCAAAGTTAAATGTTAAAGGAGCGACCGAACAAATGCTGAGAACTGTAAAGCTGAAGTCTCTTATACAGCAGGAAAAAAAGGCAAATCCTTCTGCTGCAGCACTACAACTGTCAATACAGTCTGTTTACACATGATTTTACCGTAAATAAAGAACACGTGACTCAATGAAAAACTATATAAACTAATGATAAAATGATATTACTAAACTACATGTTGTCAGGTTTATTTAATTTTTTAAAACAAGAAAAAGCGTAGATACGAAAAACATTTTATTTTTCTATTTGCGGTGATTCCTGAAAAACAAGTCAAAGTGCATCAACAAACAATGGGAGTTTATATAAATGCATTTTAGACTTTTTTTATCGGTAAAACAAAAAATGGATTTGTCACTACAAAATACAAATATTAGATCATCTCATGTTTTATTACGGCGTGTGTGTACGAACTAAGAAATAAATACAAACTACTGTGAACTCGACTCTGCGGGACCTGTTAGCCGCACTGCTAATAAATCAACGTCCGGTGTTTCCTCTACGTCCACAAAAGCCTTCAGTTAAAATTAGATGTTATTTTTACTTTAACTGATATACATCAGTGTCCGAATTGTATTTAAAGAATAAAATAACTGACTTACCTCAAACAGTGTTGTCACGCCTTTCACTAGCTGCCATGCGGAGCTGGGTCGCCGTTTGATGACGTAACAATCGTGAGACTTTTTCCGTCTATTGATTTTTATTATACATTATAGTCACAGAAATATCACGGTTAACAAAAGTTACGACTTGATAAATGTAATAAAGAAAACAAATAGTTTTAGGACTACGTCAACATAATTTTTTTTAGTTTGTCGTTTTTTACGCTTTAGAAGAAATGAAAAACAAAACAAATGCATTTCTACTGCATTTTACATACATTTGTCTGCACTTTGGTTTATACCTGTTATTTATGAAATAAAAATAAATGAAATTAAACTAATAATATGATCCAAAACATCAAAAAATAACAAAAACACACATTCAGTATAATACGTGACATTTATATAATAGTTAAAATATAAAATATACATAAAAATATATAGAATAGTGTAAAGTACTATTATGAAGCCAATATCTCAAGACGACTGGTCTTTGGGTCAAACGTGGCCTCCATGAACATAGAAGCTACTGTCCACTCCACTATCCAGGGCTGTAGATCTGATGAGTGTGGCCCATTTCTGGGTCAGTGAACAATATGTCATACCCATGTACTCAATAGGAGACAATGAGGACAGGTCACAGCTTTCAAATTCCCACAAACACAATACTTACAGCGCAGCAACTGCAGGACTCACAGAGCGCCATCAATGTAAGTAACCTATAGTTGTGGGATTTTTAAAAATCGAGGCATATTGTATTTAAAAATATTTATTCTATAGGGGGCCAATGAAGGGGGAACTAGACATGTACAACATTCTTTACAATGATCTGCAGTGAGCTATAAGAGGCAGAGGAGGATGAGTTGATGAGCTGGGATTCTGAGTTTGTTAAAACATGAAAGAAGTCAGTCTTACAAATGTATGTTTTCTTATTTAATCTGAAAATCAAGCTTGTTACTTTTGCAACATCTGATTAATAATGTAATGTATATATATATATATCTTTATATATATGTATACATATACATATACATCACTAGAACACTGAAAGTAAAGAGAAGAACATAGTACTGCAAGTATACATGTATTTATTTTATTTAACTTTTTTTTTTGAGAATTTGGAGTTGAATAAAGATATTCACCTGTCAGACAGCATGAAGTCGCCCTACTTCCCTGCCAGGTCTGTGCTGTTCCACAAACAGCCCAGTGGAGTGACGTACAGAGTCCCGGCGCTGCTCTACCTGCCACGCTTCAGATGGTTTTTGGCCTTCTGTGAGGAGAGACTCAGCCCGTCTGACTCTGAGGCTCACCTGCTGGTCATGAGGAAAGGAACCTTCTACAGAAACTATGTCGAGGTCAGAGGTCATGTCTGTCTGTCTGTCTGTCTGTCTATCTATCTCTCTCCTCACCCTCCCTCACCTCTGATGTTCCAGTGGGACGACATGCGTGTCCTGGGTACTGCAGTGTTGACAGGTCACAGGTCCATGAACCCGTGTCCAGTGTACGACGAGTTCACAGGAACTCTCTTCTTGTTCTTCATCTCCGTCCTGGGCCACACCTCAGAGACCTATCAGCTGGTGACCGGCAGGAACGTGACTCGACTGTGCTACATCTGCAGCACTGATGGGGGAGACACCTGGACTGATGTCACTGACCTCACAGAGAGAGTCATAGGAGACAAGGTCAAAGGTCAGAGACCAGACATTTGCTGAAACATTTTCAAACATGGAATCTAGGACTTTTGAAAATTAAAGCATTCATTAATTTTTGATATTGGTTTTTAAAGTTTTTAGTCACAAATGAGTTGAAACTGATTCTTCAGTGTGTGGTGAATAAAGATAAATTTAATATAATCTAATAATTAAAGAAAGTGGATTTTACATAATGATTACAATTAATCAACAACAATTAAACATGATAAATGCTGCCTAGCTAGTCTGTGATAATCCAGAATACAACATGTAATGGTTTGAGAGCCATAACAAAAATGTACATCTGTATTTTTTGTTCCTTGAATAACTTATGGCTTATTTACCTCCCTTCCTTGTTTTCAGAATGGGCCACCTTTGCCCTGGGTCCAGGTCATGGTATCCAGCTGAAGTCCGGCCGCCTGCTCATCCCTGCCTACGCCTATCACATTGAGTGCAGAGAATGTTTTGGACAGCTCTGCCTGACCACACCACGTGCATTCTGCTTCCTCAGTGACACCCACGGCAGGAGCTGGAGGTTCGGGGAGGCGGTGCCAGGCCCGGAGAGCGTGGAGTGTCAGATGGTGTCTGTGGACCAAGAAGACGGGCGGAATCTGTTGTACTGTAACGCTCGCAGTCGCCTGGGCTACAGGGTTCAGGCTCTTAGTCTGGACGATGGAGCCGTGTTTCAGGAGGGGCAGCCGGTGCCGCGGTTGGTCGAGCCCCCAAATGGTTGCCATGGTAGCATTGTTGGATTTCCTGCTCCCTTGTATCTGCACCGGAGTCCTGAAGGATCAGTGGACTGCTCCAGACACTGGACAGCTTTCAGCGACCTCGGTCCATTCTTCACTAAAACTCCAGACACTCTTCCTGTTTCACCCAGTCGCTCCTCTTCTCCAGATTTCCTCACCCCCACCTGGGTCTTATACTCTCACCCGACATGGACCACTGCACGCAGAGACCTGGGTGTGTTTCTCAGCTTATTCCCTCGTGACCCAGACAGTTGGCACGGGCCTTGGGTGATCTACGAGGGGCCCAGTGCCTACTCCGACCTGGCCTACGTGGAGCTGCCGTCGTCAGACGGAGCGGCTCCTCCCGCGGGCCTCGCCTTCTTTGTTTGATGTGGGGGGAAG